GTTACCAGCTGGGCTCTGAGCCTGGAGTTTTCAGCTCAAATTCCAAAGCAGGTTCAATAGAGTGGATGCAGGAAGCACAGGTAGCAAGAATCAGGAAGGACGAGTCCTACGGGCTTGAGCTCAGCAAAAGAATCCAACATTCTGAAGAGCCAAGACCAGGGCTCCCCAGGCAGCTAGGGAGTTCAGGGTCCATCCAGCAACAGAAATGGACAGCTCATGGGTATGAAGAGAATACTTAGAAACAATCTGAGAAAATCAATGAGACTCATCTGGCCTGCAGAGACAATCAAAAGCCTGGGGGTTGGGTCAGGCTAATTAGGCACCTATGAATCAAGCAGGGTTTCAGCTCTGACCTCCCACCTTCCAACACCAGCACCTGAGGTGGAGAGCAGCCAGGTGGCAATGCCAGGGGAAAGATTAGGCCTGAGGTCTCCTCAGAAGGAGTAATGGGGTTTCCTTTTATATGTGGGTTTTTGTTAATTTGGAATTAATTCATTGTTTTTTCTTTTTTCTTTTGATACTAGGGATTAAACCCAGGAGATCTTTACCACTAAGTTCCTCTTTATTTTTTTTATTTTGATAAAGGATCTCACTAAGTTGCCAAGGCTGATCCCAAACTTATGATCCTCCTCCCTCAGCCTCCTGAGTCGCTGGGATTACAGGTGTGAATTCTTGCTCTAGAAAAACACCATTTTGCCTGAAAAAGAGAGACAATTGGAAACGTGCTCCTAATAATAACTGTATCTTGACAAGAAGTCATTCTCCAGTCAAGTCAAGGAGGCAAGGGACCCCATATGAAGCATGGGTGAACTACATGAAGTAGCCAATGTTCAACTGCCTTTGACCCACGACCACACATACAGTCACACACATTTTTTTCTCCACCAAGGGAAGCAATCTAGCAAGGTAAGGCCTATCACTGTTGGACTTGGAGCTCCAGGACCACACATTTAAGTGACAGAGTCCCAATATGTTTTTAGGCTGACCCCAAACTACTGGGCTCAAGCAATCATCCTGCCTCAGCCTCCTCAGTAGATGGGACTGAAAGTGCATGCTACCGTGCCTGGCTAGGATCATACATTTTAAAGTTAAAGGGCTTCAGCTCGGGAAGGCAGCCATATTCCAGTTCAGTTGGGCTTCTGAGGTCCAGAGAGAAAGACATTTGCAAATTTACAGCTAATAAGTAGACAGCTCATATCACCAGGTTCTTACCACAAGGTTTCCTTGTGTTCACAATGCACGGGGGGTTACACTCACCTCTGCCCCAGGTTCACAATCTGGTGACGTCCTCAGGAAATGTCTAGCAGTACACAAGCAGCTAGACTTGCTTCTTCTCTTAAGTCCTTCCAGAAATGGTTGAGTATCTCCAACCATCTGACCTGGTCCCCTCACAACCTCAATCACAGGCACAGGCTCAAAAAAACACATCAGGAAAAGTGCAAGGCTCTGCACTCATGGGGGCCACCAGACAGATGGCTATTTCAACCCTGAGTTAAACCCCTCACAGCCATCAGTACCAGCTGCTCTTTGCTCTGTGATCAGGGCAATCCCAAGGACTCTGAAGGCTGAGGCAATAGGGTCACAAACTCAAGGCCAGCCTGGGCAATGTAGTAAGACCCTGTCTCAAGATTAAAAAATAAAAAATAAAAAGGGCTGGGGATGTAGGTTAGTAGTAAACCTCCTGGGGTTCAGCCGGAGCAAGAAAAAGTGAACTTTATGAGTTAAGAATGTTAGATGTAAAGGGGGTGTCTTCTTGTGTCCCTGAGCAACAATGGCCTGGGGGAAAGGGGCTTTGTGAGGAACCCCATCCTGTGATGCAGATGTCCCACAGGCAAGGGGACCCTTTCCCAAGATTCTCCAGCAGGAACTGGCCTTATGATATCAGACTGTGGCTCTTGTCAAATCCAACTGTGTCAGTGATCCCCCCAAATTAAGAGAGAGCAAACTGTCACTCAGATGCTGGCCCAACCTGCCACTTCCCATTTCTTCCTCGTTAAGACACAAATGGTGAGAACAGCCAGCCTGCCAGGTAAAGTGGGGGTTAGGGAAAGATGTTGGTCAACACCAAGTGCTACATAAAGTGGTCGCAGAGCATGTGCTGGCCATGGGGCCCATTAGTCACACTAAGCCAGCTCCAAACCTCTCCTCTTCCAGAAGCCAAAGGATAAAACAAAAGCAAAATCCCCTAAGGCCAGGGTGGCAAGAACCACAGTCAACTTCAGCCAATTCATCCTGCAGAGGTGGAGGAAGCTTCCTCTAGGAGCAGGGAGCCAACACCTCACTGCCCTTCTCTGATCCAGAGATTCCCACTGCCCTTTTGAGGGAAGCATATGATAACAGCTTTTAAAGGAAGGAAACTCAGAGGGGCTAAGGGACAAGCCTGAGGTCACTCAGCAACAGCAGGATGGGAACAGCTAACTTTCTCAGTCTGGTGGCCTGACTTGGCAATCAGTCCCCACAGTCTTTTAATTTCTCTTCACTCGAATCATCTTCTTTAAGCAGTCTCCCCTTCTGTTCCAGACAGCATATCAAATGTAGAAGGAAAATGACGCCACTCTGTAAAGATCAGGAGGCAAAGCCAGCTAGCACTATTCCGAGTTGCTCAAATGTAGGATGTTCTTGTTATCATTGTTACTGCCAGACTCTGGGGGTGCCAAACGATGCTAAGTTAAGAGCATCCACCAAAGCCTTATGGAGCGGGGGGGGGGCGGGAGGGTAGGCAACAAAGGATAACTTGGACATCTGTAGAGCTCCTGGCAGCGGTTTGGATCCCCCCAAGGGGACACTGGAGGACAATCAAGTTTAGAATTAGCAATAGGAGTTGAAGGATCCAAGGAGATGGTGCAGAGCACATACTACCTATTCCCATCACCATCTTCCATGTAGTGACACCTGGTAAGAGCAGGACAGAAGCCTCTGAGGAGAGAGGAGGACAGGGAAAGGGGGAGGCTGGCTCTGGCTGCTCATGTGGCTTCCTTCACAGCTTCAAGCCTGCTCCTGACCACGAACAGAGAGCAAGGAAACCTGAGTGGACAAAAAACCCACTCCAACTAATACTATCTAGATCTCTACGTCCCCTTCAGCCCTGCCTAGAGAGTGTGACAGGCAGGGGCCCAGAAGAGCAGGCTTGGAGGAACTGAGATGGTAACTCCTCTATCTCCGCCCGCACAGGCTCACAGCAGCCTCTTTAGAATAACCCTGCTTTCACTTCTTTCAGGTACAAGTATGTCCTTAGTAAAGACCCAGGCTTTCCTTTGTGTTTCCACTGCATGGACAAATAAAAACTGGATTGAACCCTCACTCAAGGGCAGGTGGCTGTCTCACAGTTTACGCTATATCCATCACACTAGTCTTTCCAAGAAGGATGACTGCATACTAACAAAATGGAAAAAGTAAAAAACAATGAGCAACAGAGCAGGTTTAGAGCCAGCATGGTTTGCATCACCCATGGACTGAAGCCTACCTAAGGGAGCCAAGGGTATACAAGTCATGTTCACGGCTTAGGGGCTGAGGTTTTCGAGGGACCAAGGGAAGCTCATTGTCCTCATGGGTTGGCTCAAACTGCTCACAGGATTCACATTTTTTCCTCTCCTAGCTGAGGAGTAGGGCATGGCGGCAAACGTAATCTCACACAGGGCTGGGGATGGGTCTCAATGGTACAGAACTTGTCTGACATGCGTGAGGCCCTGGTTTCAATCCCCAGCACTGAAATAATAACAATAATCTGTTACACATTGACTTCACTGAACAAAAGAAGGAGAGAGATGAGATGCAGTAACAAAATCCTGGGTGACAACACCAGGAGCCAGGGGCCCCCCAAGCCTTGGAGGGGCCCTTGAACCAAAGGGCAAATGGGCTCATAAAGCAAGGAACAATATGAGAACCAAGGTCCCCTCTTTAGTCCTCCGCAGGGCAGGACTTCTGTCATAGTTACAGACAAAGAGCAATGACCAGATTTGCCACTGGTGCCAGCTGCACCAGCTCCCCATCCTGGCATCCAGAAAACAGACAAGGAACCTGCAGACTGACCTCCAACCACAGAATATTTCACACACACACACACACACACAAAGGCAGTAGAGCAACATTTACAGTCTTGAGGGAAGAGGAGCAGGACCTGAGGGCTGTACTTCTAATCAGGCTGTTATTGCCACAGGAAGATCACGATTCACATACAACACCGGAAGCCTCAGAGGAGGACAGTGAAGAAATACAAGAGAAAGTTTTTGCTAAAGCTCGACATTCACATCCAGGAAACAAATGCCGGATAAGTCAGGGTTGGTTCCTGTTGTCCTTTCTACCCAGCTCGTGGTGCAGAGCACAGCATGAGAGCTAATTGTGCACAGAGACAGAGGTGGCCTTGGTCAGCTTCCAGTCCTTGGGACTTGACGGCTATTATACATCAACGGCTCACTGAACACCTTATAAACAGCATCACTGTGCCATATCCATTTACAAAGGGTATTACGAATGGCTTGGGTGTCACAAAAATGAATGGCCCAGGTGAGAAGGAATCCCCACCATTCCAACTCCCAGTGTCTAGGGCCTACCCCAGTTCTGGGGCAACAAGGAGATATCTACCAACCAACCACATGACCTGAAGCCCACTGATTGCAGGGATTAGTGGGAAGACCAAAGGAAGGGTGTAACACATAAAGATCTGACAACCAAAGAGATGAACACAGAACTCTCTGACTTCAGAACTGGCACCAGGAAGCAGACCAAGCAGCTATTCCTTGGATGAGCATATGTTTGTTTCAGCACATGGTGTGACCATATTCTGACCCCAGGAAGGCAGATGGGGGCCCTGCAACAGATGCTGGTTTCTGCCCTTGAGTGTTTCCAACAAACAAACAAGGATAGACTCCACCACCCTCCTCGCTGCAACCTGACTATACTTTCCCTAACTCCCTCCCCTTTCCTGGATTCTCACTGAGCCAGTTCCTCTTACCACCTGTGTGCTCAGATACATAGACGGAGGACCTGGAAGTGCAGGTAGGTAGTGACAGGTCCGTCCGCCCTTATGCTTCCACACTGGGCTACCTTGCCCCCAGTCCTCAGCTGGCACAAAAGGGCTTGGGACACAGGATAGCTCACATCTCACATCAAATAAGATTCCAATTCACAGGTGCTGAGGGGGAGTGGACGAGTAGCAAAATCAATCACAGAACATCCAATACTGGTGTGTGGGAAGGTTGAACTCAGGGCTAACAAAGGGACCCCCCCTAGGCCAACTCTGGGCAAACCCAACTGGCTGAGGAGAAGAAGCAGCAGACAGATTTGGCTGGATGACTCTGCAGGGTCACCCTAAAGGCGAGGAAGACTGTGGAGGGTGGGGGACATGCATGCGCCCCTCCCTCCCCTACACAGCCAGAGCTGATGGCCGCAGCCCCTCCAGTGGACATGAGTAGAAAGGCCCTGCAGGGCAGGAGACCCTCTGAAGTGGCCCTGTTTCCATCCCTTCCATCTTCAAAGTGCATTTTCAGTGCAAGAAGTAGGGCTGGATCTCAGGGGGTCCAACTCTGAGAAAGGGCTGTGCCAGCCAGCTCCCTCCATCTCCTCCTGCTTCCCCCTTGCCTGCCCATGCCCCTTTTCACGCTAAGACCAGAATTCCTGCTGGATCTCATAAGCAGTAGGCCTGTGTGTGTTCAGTTCAGCTCTGCACAGCGGCACGGTACTGTCCTGACTCTGCCCCTCTGCGTCCAGGTCCAGAAGCGTCCGCTCGGCGGGGGGCAGCGGTCCTGCCTGAAATGGGAGCAGGGCTGGAAGTGCAGGCCGCTCCTCCACAGTGCTGCTGCTGCTAGCAAAGCAGGAGTCCAGGTTGCTGGGTGTCTCTGTGCTGGAGCTGTTGGCTGGGGAGGCGCTGCGGGCATGGCTGGGGGACACGAACCACCAAGGGTCTAGCCTTTGCCGATTGGCAGAGGGACGTGGGCGAGGCAGAAACTCCAGAGTCTTGGGTCTCTCCAAGGTAGAGTCCTGCTGTGTGTTCCAGCGCCTTGGGGTTGGGGGAAAGACCACATTAGGGTCAGGGAGCCGGGGGAATTCACCTGGGTCTCGGCTAGGACTGGGGGTTTTCAACATTCCTGGTCAAGAAGACAAAGGGAGAAGAATCAGATGATGGCACCGTATTTCTGGGTCAGATATTCACTGCTCTCCCCACCCTGCCATCTCCCTATGCACTTGGAATAACAAGAATTAACAAATACTTACCGAACACCTACTATGTCTACTATGTGCCATGCAGTGTGCTGGGTGGTATTGGGGATACCACGGTACCTAGGCCAAGGTCCCTGTATCCAATAATAGTAATGAGTGTCCTAACTGCAATGAATTAACTAAAGGCAGATGCTGGCAAAAGAGCCACAAACGGGCCACATGTGTTTGTAAATCAAGTCTTAATGGAACACGTGTTGGAGTTACTCAATGCCTGCTATCCAACCAGAGCAGCATAGCTGAGTGGTTACAGGAGAAACTGCATGACCTGCAAAGCCCCAAGTATTTACTATCTTGACCCTTCCCCAGTTTGCTGATCCCTGACTTAAGGAAATGTCTATCATTCGTTCTTCATCATTTAATAAATGTACGATAGGAACAGAAGTCTAAGTAGCAATATAGAGTCTCTGTTCCCAAAGAGGTTTATATCTGAGAATACAAAAGCGTATTAAGAGGAAGGTCAAGTCAATGGTAAAAATATAATTGTCACTGACACCTAAATCTCACTAAAGGTATGGCCTTCCCTGCTTCTCCTCCTGGACTGGAGCCAACTCTAAGTCAGTCTGAGATATTCCAGGGAGCAAGGGTGGTGACAGGGAAAATCTGGGTTTGAGTGTGTGTATGCCCAGGTGTCGGATACAGCAGGTAAGTATGTGCACATGGGTAGTAACTCACCTGGACACATGTCCATGTCTGCTGAGGCAGGTGAGTCAGAAATGAGTGTTAACAAGCGAGCTGACAGAAGGAAGCCTTCCTGTGAGTGTGTCTGAGCTGATGTTGTAATGGGAGACCTGCAACCAGCTACGTGGCAGAAAACGCCCTCCTACCTGCAGCGCAGCATTCCTTCCTAGTATCCATGGTACCCTCCGGAAATAACCAGAAGCTAGATTCCTGCCCCTTCTGGACACTGCCTGCACAGCAGTGCTCTACCCTGGCCCAGGGCCTAGACATGACAGTGCGGTACCAGGTCTGATTCTTCCAAGAACCCACCTGTCTTCTTTTGGTTGCCAGGAAAGATCCCTGCCCTGTGGCCCCATCCAACCCTGGTCACCTCCCTGACCTCAGATTGGTAATTCTTGCTTGGCTGAGTAAGAGATGGAATGGGGCTTACTCAGATCCAGAAGTAGAAAGAGGAAATGAGGCACCTACACCTTCACTCCCTGGGAGGCACAAAAGACAGAGGAGAGAGGAAGCACCCGGGACTCACCTGATCCAGGACTGGGGCTCAACCCATTGCTGGAGGGGCTCCTGCTAGCTTGGAGAGCTACAGGCTTAAGGGCTCCATCAGAAGGAGTCCGCCGGTGACCACTCGGCTGTGTGGGGGCCGTGAGGGTGACATGGGTGGGAGTCAGGGACTGGTTAGGGTCTTTCTTGAAGCGTTCCACACGGACATTGACCAGGGGGTTGTGGGTGCATGGGGTCGGGGGCGGGGCCTCGACGGGGCTGATTGGCATCTCATACACCACGATCTCATCGCTGTCGGAGCGCAACAGGGAGCGGGTGGAGTTGCACTCAGAAATGGAGGAGAGAGAGAGCAGCGTCAGGGAAGCGGAGGGGTCCCCCAGCAGCAGCATGGGTTCTTCCTTCTTGAAGAGCTTTCGGGAAGGGGGGCTGGTGCTCCGTCGAGGACGGCTGGCCCTCTGGAAAAGACCTTCGCGCCTCTTCTTCTCCTCCCGGGCTGGTGGCTCGGGCTCCTCTGGGGGAAGCAGCTGGCACCTGCCAGCTTCCAGCAAGTCAAACCCTAGGCCTGTGGCTGCCAGGACAGCCCCACAGCCAAGCAGAGCCACCTCACAGCGGCGGTGATGGGTACTGCTGCGCTTGAGGCTGTTGGTTGGTGTCAGCTGAGGGGTACTGGTGGCTGAGTTGACTGGGGTGGGCTCCTCATGGACTCCATCACTGTGGGGGCCATCCCCATCCTCTCCTCGAGGAAATGGGATACAGAGGTAGGACTGGTTAGGTGAATGCTGTAGACGACTCTCTCCACTCCTTGGGCCTTCGCTGTCCTCATCCTCTGTGCAGATGAGAGGAGTGGAGGAGAAAAAAAGAAATGGGTACAAAGCAGCAAGAAGAAGAATCTGGTCCTTTCCCCTGACCCCAGGCCTCCTGACTCAGTGTCAGGGATGCCAAAGTCAAAAGGCCTGACGGGCAGGACCTGGAATGGACATGGAACCAAAAGGGCTGTATTCCCCGACACGCAGTTGCAACCAACCCGGGGAAATGAATCCACATTCCGGAGCCCATTTTCCTATTTTTAGGAAAGAAGATCTGTAATTTGCTACTTCTTTGAACCTCACGTGTGTGTGTGTGTGTGTGTGTGTGTGTGCATGTGTGTGCGCACGCAATGCTAGGGATTGAGCCCAGGACCTCATATTCTAGGCAAGTACTCTACCACTGAGTCCCACAGAAACCCTTAGTACAAATAAAGCACGAGTCTCTAGAACACTGGATAGAACAGAAACATTCCTAATAGTTTCGTACCTTAAAATTGGAAGGACTTTTGGATTTCTAGAATGATAGCTTCGCAACTTAAGACTAGTCTCCACAAAGGATTAGAATCCCCTATAATTGGCTCCATGGATGGAATGACCTTAGAAATCTACAGAGATAAGAATATCACCTGAGAGAGAGCCTGGAGAACTTACCCATCATTCAGTAATCAGAGGATGGCACTGGTAAGCCTCCTGGGAGGACAGCTGCAGTGTCTTCTATCACCACCCCCCACTTTGTGGGCTCCCCTCTCCATAGAGTCAGGGACAGGAAATGCCTGATTCAAGGCCTCACCCTTCTCTTGCCCTAAGGAGACTCTTAACTGGCCCCTTGGGATAAGAAGCCAAAGGTAGGCTCCATGACAGCAGGAAAAAACTGACTTAGAAATTCAATGAAACGGGTACAGGACAAAGGAGTTGAGTAAAAGCTAAGACAAACACCATTAAGTAGTATTAGGGGTCCTTAAACAGTCCTGGAAATGGCCAAGAATTCCCTGAGGGACTAGGGAGAGAACAAAGACCAGAGCAATGCTTACCCATCTCCATAAGGCTGGTGAACCCTGGCAGTGCCGGGCTATTCCTCGGGCCCTTTCCCAGGTTGGGGGCACTGGACGACCACTGCTTGTATCCATCTACCAGGGATTTGAGGCTGAAGAAGAAGAAATGAGAAGACTGTCAGAAGTGGCCACTTTCTTCACCTAGCCTCCAAGGGCCTGAGGAAATGCCTTTCCTTGTCTGCCTGATCACAATGAGGACCTAGGGTACAGGCAGCATCTCACTGAGCCCACCTTCTGCACAAACAGAAGTGTACATGCTCTAGGGAAAGAAAAGCAGCAGTTTGACCCACCCTCCTCACATGCTGTGGAACTGTGGAGAGAGCTGGGGGGCAGGGTGGGCAGACAGAATAAGGACTGCCCAGTGAATGGGGGTCCTGCCTGATCCCTTCTTAAGGGAGAAAATCCACAAACACTAAACACAACACACTCGTGACATTAGAAATATCGCAATGCAAAGACAATACTTGCAATACAAAGCAAGCATGGGCAGATGATCCAGCAGAAATGGGCTGGGCCGCCCCACTCACGCCACTGCTCAATCCTCCTTTCAAACTCCCGGCATGCTTAGGCCACTTTCAAAGCCATACATTTTTCAAAAAGAAAAAAAAAAATCAACCAACAAAGCATCACCGACCCAGTGCACTTTGGGACAGACCTATGTGGGTAGTACATTATGCTGTACTCCGGCCCTCGGTTTGTGTGGGGATGGAGAGAAAGAGGATATCAGCTTGCTCTCAAATCCCTGTGATCAGCTCATTCAGCAAGCCAGTATCTCACCAAGGATAGACAGGGTATCCCACAAACCCCCTAATATGATGGGGGAGTCAGAGGCAGGAAGCACTGGTCTTCTTCCCTAGAGGACAGTAAATAGGAGCACTGAGGAATCCATATGCTGTCGTGGTTTGGGGGATCCCACAGAATAATAAAAGGTGGCTCTTTTTTTAATGCTGAAGACCCATTCAACAAAAGCCCACTCTCCCCTGAGTCCCAGGCCACTCTGAACGCAAAAGAAGGTCTGACCTTTTCCCTTGACCTCAGCAAGATGTTTCAAGTGCTGAAAGACATACCAGTGGATTCAAGTACATCTCAACGTCCACTGGTTTCAACCAAAATAAAGAGCCAGGGAGGAGCCCGCTGCTAAACCTACAGCCTGGGACTTCTAACTAGTAATTTTATCACTTCCAGCTCTGGGGCCAAGGAAATCCAGATTAGCAAGTCAACACCAGTGCTCAAGTCTAAAGGATAAATAGCCATGGATCTTCTCCCTAACGCTAAGGGTGCCAGGAGTATCCCAAATACTGGAGTAGTCAGGAAAGTGACAGATCAACACAGGAAATTTCCCAAAGTGCACAATGGTATTGCTCTTAAAAAAAAAAAAAAAAAACTCAGCTCAGCCTTTGCAGTGATGAGACCTGATTCTATGGGGTATGAGAACAGGAAATGGAAGGATGATTGCTGCCAGCACAGCTGGTGAAAGGGTGAGGATTAGACTCACCCCAAGTGGAAATGTGGAGATTCTGATGGGGTACTTAAGCCATTAGCTTTCTCACGCCTCTGAGGGGATCTTCAATGAATAAAGAGAATCAGTAGTGAGGCCATCCTGATCAGCTTCTCCCATAGCCGAGATCCCAAGGCTGGGCTTGAGCTCTGTTGCCAGTCACCTCCCCATGTCCAGTCAGCAAAGTCCACACCAGGAAGGAAACTTAACAAGATGGCCTTTTGAGCTGCTTCAGGCCCAAGCCCTCCTATCTATAGGACCAAGGTCCCAGGGCGACTGCAGGGTGGGTCTGTGAATCCAGATAACCAAGCTGTCCTGAGACAAGTGTGTATGTGTCCTATAGAGCTGTACCATTTGTGAAAAGCAGGAAGATACACGCTCACTTAATGTTACTGAATTCAAGATAACTTACTGCCATTACATATTTTCTTCAATCAACAGGCTCTAAAATTAGAAATATAGAGAGAGGCTCTCAAAATTTTCTGTAATCCCAGCAGCTTGGGAGGCTGAGGCAGGAGAATTACAACTTGGCGAGGCCCTGTCTCTAAATAAAATATAAAAAGAACTGGGGATGTGGCTCAGTTAAGCATTCCTAGGTTCAATCCCTGGTACCAAAAGAATAAAAATTCTGACACCAAAGAGATTTTTTTACTCAGAACTAGATGAAATCCACTTTTATTTCTTTAATAGGAACTGATAATCATGAGATACATGATATACAATCATGAGATATATGATATTTTTAATTGCTTCAACAGTTATGAGTTCTCTCACACCTCTGAGGTAATTGGTAGTGCATACCCTGTAATGCCAGGGGCTCAGGAGGCTGATGCAGGAGGATGGAGAGTTCAAAGCCAGCCTCAGTAATTTATCGAGGCCCTAAGAAACTCAGTGAGACCCTGTCTCTAAATAAATACAAAAAGGGCTGGGGATGTGGCTCAGTGGTTAAGCATCCCTAGGTTCAATTCCTGGTACCCCACCCCCCAAAAAAGGTATGAAGACAAACCTATGTAAGGAAAAAGAAAAGTACAAGTTGATATTCTGTAATGTGAAATATGGTTAATTTAATACCAAGATAAAAGGTATCTCTTTCCCTCTTTAGGTAGTGGGGATTGAACCCAGAATCACTCTACCACTGAAATACATCCCTACCCCTTTTTATTTTTTGAGACAGGGTCTCACTAAATTTCTGAGTCATTCCTTGAACTTGTGATCCTTTTCCCCGAGTAGCTGAGATTATAGGTAAGTCACTGTGCCCAACAAAAAGTATCTTTAAATGAAGCAGAAACAAAGAAATTACTGGAATCTACAACCAGCCTGGCTAACGGTATTTGGAATTATAATGTCAGAAATTATCAAGTGATGGGCTGGGGCTATAGCTCAGTGGTAGAGTGCTTGCCTAGCATGTGTGAGTCACTGGGTTCAATTTTTAGCACTGCATATAAGTAAATAAAATAAAGGTCCATAGGCAACTAAAAAAAAATATTAAGAAAAAAAAAAAGAAGAAATATCAAGTGACTCAGGGTCAGCAAGTTTCTCAAACCCAGCTCAACTCCTGTCTAGCTCAGTGCTCAAAGAACCAACTAGGAAGCTCCAGCTCCTACAGAACTTGGTAGAGTAGAGTGATTTGCTGTCCTCTGTGGATTCATCCTGAAGCCACACACAGTATAGGTAGTTTGCCCTCCATGTCTAACTTTGCTATTCAAAGGCATCCAGTAATTTCTGAAGCCTGGCTTCAGAAAATCAATCCTTTATTTTCACCTTGAATTCAGATCTGATGTGGGGAAACAGATTTTAGACATGAAAATTTTAGTATTTGAAAGATTAGCAAAACCAGGGCACCCGCAAACCTAATAGCCAACCTTAGTAACTCTTTGGAAAGTCATTATGTAATGGTGAAGAGGACTGCTGGACTCTCTCACATTTAGAATAAGTCATAAAACACTACTGGCTTAGAGTTGAACACTAAGAAGTTAAAACTGTGATAGCCATGCTTCGGGTATGGAACAGAACTACACAAGAGGTAAGGAATATTCACCCTGGCCAGTATGTATACAAGCTCCCTATGAGCCAGCAAATTATTTATGCACTTCACAAAGAAGAACTCAGAAAACCTTCACATCAGCTACCCATCAGTGGGATGGGTACTGATATCATCCCCAATGCACAGAATATACAAGCTCACACAGAAAGCTGGGTGGAGCTAGGATTCATGCTAGGCAGTCTAGAGTCAGCAGCCAAGCCTTCCACTACTACACTATGAGTGCCTGGCCTGTGAAGCACTGAGACTCAGGGGAAAATTGGCCTCTGGCCTCAAGCACTCAAGTGAGGACACAGTTCTTTCATAGCACCAAGGCCCCCTGGGCTTTTCCCATGGGGTGTAGTCAGTGTGACTCTGGGGTGAAGCCTGAAAGAAATTCTCATGGCCTATTACCTCTATCAGTGCTGGTTTCTCTGTCTGCCCCTGCTTCAGAATGAGCCTCTGTTGACCCCTGCTCTCTGTTCTCTTAACTATGAATGGATCCTTTAAGAGGAAGAGCCAGGTATGAGTAGAAGACTCAGACAGAACTTCCTGTATTTCTTCCTTGCTCTGAAGGGATCAGCAAACCGCACTGGTGGGCAACATCCTGCCCACCCCTTGTTTTCCTAAAGTTTGACTGGAACACACCCACACTCATTCATTTATATATTGCCCATGGTCCACGGCTATTTTGCTCCAAAAGAGGAGTTGAACTGTTGTGACAGAACTTTATGGATCACAATGCCTAAAATATTTATTATCTGGCCCTTTGTGGAAGAAAGTTTGCTAACTCCTATCCTAGGAAGTGCCTGGGAACCAGTAGATTGGAAAAAACTGTAAATTGTAAAGACCACGAGGTTTACAATTGAATACACAATAGAAAAAGGGTGTTTTATTTTTTGTAGCATTGAAGATAGAACCCAGAGACAATCTTCCACTGAGCTACATCTCTAGCCCTTTTTTTCCAGCCCCTAATTTTTTTTTTTTTTTTTGTGACAAGTTTTCACTAAATTGCTGAGGCTGGCCTTGGAACTCATGATCGTCCTACCTTGGTCTCCCAAGTAGCTGAGATTACAGGCATGTTCCACGGTGCCTGGCTAGCAAAAGGTATTTCATTTCGTATTTTTAAATGATGCACTCATCTTTACATTAGAGAGAATTTCATATCATCTGGCTCTTACCCTTCATCCCCTGAGGCAAGTTCCTTCTGCCCAAGTGTCCCTGGCCCCCATGTTCGTCCCTTCTTCTTTGTGGCCCTCTTCTCCTCCTCTTCCCCTTCCTCTTTTGGGATGACTGAGCTCCGGCCCCAGGTTTTGCTGCTTTCACCTGGTGTCACTGTGCATAACAAAGGTCAGATAAGATCCAGAGAAATGAACAGACAGGGCCCCCTCAAAACTAGCCTCTACCCCACCAGACAGACTCGAACAACTTAGAGTTGCAGGGAAGTTAGACCTCACCAGAAACTCTGTGCCTAAGGGACCCTTACAAGAAAGCAACGGAGTCCCCAGCTACCAACCATTTAACTCTCAAAATAAAAACATGGAGAAATTTCCCAAAGTGTTACAAGTCCAATATAAAGCTGGGGCTCAGGCCAACCAGACACCAGAGTTCCAAACAGATGTAACTGAAAGAACTTGTTTTGCTGAGTGGAATTGCATGGTGGGGGAATGAAGAGGTTGATGTGGGGTCGGTGGAGACAGTGGGTAAGGAAAATGTGGAAGAAAGGAACTATTGGAAGACAGGCTGGAAAGAAGAAAATGAGGCTTTCCAGGCTCTGGAGAAGGTGGTCAGGAAGAGGGAGAGAGGGAAAGGAAAAGATAAGGAAGGAAGAACCTTCTTCTGATGGAAAGCTATAGAGATACGGCTCAAATGAGAAATGAATGGAGTGAGCCAACTACCAAAAAAAAACAGGGAACTGAAGCCACTGAAGCAAAATAGGAAGCATATGGAAACTGCTATCAATTCCAGCCAACTCTGGTCACATGAAAAAAAAAAAAAAGTAACCCACTGATGTGATCTGAATCCTCAAGGAAGGTCAGAAACCCAGGATTTTTAAGTGAAATCTATCTTCAAATTGGGAAACAATCCATTCATATACACCCATATTTACATATACAAACACACACACACGTGTGTGTGTGTGTGTACTTTTTTAAACAAATACTATAGTAAAAACAAAATAAGACTAAGATTGGCCCACTATACAGTATGTGCAAGTTTTCTTAGGAGCTAAGAAAATGACTTTGGAAAAGCCATTCTTTAGGAAATATGGACAAAAGAAAAAAACATTAGGTCCCCAAGCCAGGGTACCAACAACTTATATCTACATTATACACCAGTTTCCAAATTGCTTTGTAACTCACTAAAGATCCTTCAGCACCCAGAAATCCCTTTGCTGATATTTAACCAGGAGTAAAAAGTAAAGAAGGTAGTAGCAAAGTTAATGGAGAGGGACAGGGTAGGGCTGAGGGTCTGTGTACATATGTACATGTATATACATCTGTTGAGGGGGTTTCGGGGGCAGAAGTTATGCATGGAGCAAGCCTGGACCAGCTGGCAGTTGGACAGAGCAGGGGACAGGTGCCCTGGTATGTTTGGGGCCCCAACTAATTTGAGAAACAGTCTCACACTGGATGGCTCGAAGGCGAGGAATGATGGTGGGGCTTGCAGGAGGACTGGAGCGGCTGCTGATAAGACTCTTCCTTTTATCCATGGTTGGGGAGGCCTGCACCGTGAATTTGTGCTGGAAATCTGCTTGAGGAAAGACAAACACAGGAATGTGCATTAGCCTTATCCCATCATCAAACTCATTTAAGAGAGGTGACGTCTTCTGGGGCAGACCTGAGAGACAGGCCTCAGTTCCCTGAAAAGATCTGTTTACCTGGGAAATGTTCTCTCTCAGAACCATCTCTTTTTTCCTAAGGGACATGGCAAGATGAATGTATGAACTGATGGGAAAATTCATTATCTGAGTGAACATCATTAGACAAGTCTTTATAAAGCTCTCTATTTAGTGTATACAGATGGAGCGTTTACACATTGAGAACAGCTTTGAGCTCATGAGAGTTTGTTGATTATTCTAGGGATTGGAACTCAAAATTCTCTGTTTCCGATGATCTTCTCAGGGATCAATGCAGGGAGACTAATGCTTCTCATTAAGTGTGGGCACAGCAGGGAATCCAGGGACCAAGGGAGGTGGTCAAGTTGCCTTGATTCCAACATCATCCAAAGGCAGTTATGGTACATCACACAGAATGTAAAACCCACTTCTCTGAATTTCAGCCCCTCACCATCAGAGAGGCATGATACTCAGCTCCTTGTCTGTACCCTGATCTCCCCAATAAACTGTGGTCCTTTTGCAGGTGGGATTGTGGTTTCTATACCTGCATCCCCAGCCCACAGCAATATGCTGGCACAGGCTAGATGCTCAAAAGGTGCTTAAAGACTCTGTGCTGTGTGAAGAGAAAAAAAATGTACAAAAGAAAACAGCAAACATGTTCTGTGGGCACACCCTCTCAATTTCAGTGAAAGAATTCCCTTGTCTATTCCTAAGCCACCGTCCTAGGCTCACCATCCTCCACAGGTGCTCTCATCAGGCCATTTTTCCTTGGTTCCTACACTTCTGATAAGCTTGCTTCCTGGGGCTTTATAGATTCAGAGCACTTTTATCTACATAAAAACACATTTAAGGGCTGGGGTTATAGCTCAGTGGTATAGAGTGCTTGCCTCACACGTGTGAGACCCTGGGTTTGATCCTCAGTATCATATAAAAATGAATAAATAAATAAAAATATTGTGTCCATTAAAAACAAAACATACTTAAGCACTCACCTCCCTTGATGGATATATTATACATCACAAATATTCTATTTCATATTTCCTTGCATTTCCCCCAAGGCTACAGTAACACAAATGATGGACCTTTATTCATCCAGTGCATTTTTGAAAGGTTATGTGTAGACCTTATGATGTAAATTCTTATGCACTAAACCTAATCTCAACTATCCTCAGAGAACTAATTAAGTAAAGAAACCTTGGGGTGATGGGCTGTACAGAGCCAAGACTCCTCTAGTTTCACATACACAGTCCTGGAATTTTCTCCCTGTTAGAAGCCTCCTTCTCCAGGTTTGTCTGAAGTGAGATGCACCTGGGTGGGCCACCACACTTCCAGCAGGCGGACCTTGCGAGTCTGTCTTCACACTGTGTTCACTCACACCCCCGGCAGTTCCCCTGGAGTGGGGCAGATTTTCAGCCAGCCAGTCTTTCCACTGAACAGAATGGCCCATGACAACAGGTGACACTCGGGCATGGGTCCCACAAACTCCTGCCGCACCGGCTCCTCACTCCCCTCCCACTTCAGGCCCCCAGCCACTGACCAGAGGGAAGGCTGATGCGGTTGCCATCCTTGAGCTTCAGCCGGCTCTTCCTGAACTTGCCCTTGCGTTTCTTCACCCGGGGCTTCTCCTGGCACAGCTGGTGGATGATGATGTTGAGCTCCCTTTCCAGGATGTCGATCTCCCGCTCGGCCAGCTCCTGCTCCCGGCGCCGGAGCAGCTCCTCCTGGTTCTTCTGCTGGAGTGCAGCCCGCGTCAGCTCCTCCTCCCAGGTGCGGAGCTCCTGTAGAATGGGAGGAACCATCAGAGGGAAGGGCAGGGTCCTCCATGCAGAGGGGCTCTGGAGTAAGGCCTGAGAGCTCAAAGGGCTCGTGCTCACACGGCATCCTGAAGAGCTCTCCCATGATGCCTCATGGATAGAGGGGGCTGATCTGTGAGCTGGTAAGTGAACATCTGAGCACCCTCAGTCATGGGGAAAGGAAGGCTCAGAACAGCCATCCTGAGATACAACCAGAGACGCTAATACTGAAGGCCAAGCTCTAGAGACCGGGCAGGAGGAGCAATGAGGACATGACAAATAACATAAGTCACCAGCACTGACAACTTAGACAGGGAACAATTATTATCCTATTGCATAAGACAAATCATATAAATTATAACAGTTGGCACATAGTACATGCTCTTCAAAAGCTAGCTATTATGGGTTTGACTCTTCTTAGAAACACAGTGCCCCTGAACCTTGGGGCTACATCTCAAGACCCCAGTGCATGCCTAAAACCACAAATAGTATCAAACCCTACATATACTATGTCTCTTCCTGTAATACATACCTATGAAAAAGTTTAATTTATAAATTAGGCACAGTATAAGATGTATAACAATAACCAATAATAAGACAGAATTATAGCAATATAATAAAATCACCAGCATCACTACTCTCATGCTTTGGGGCCATTATTAAGTAAAATAAGTGTTACTTGAACATGAGCACTGATAGAGGATGAGTGGATCTGATAACTGAGACAGCCACTGAGTGACTAACAGGCAGGTAGTGTACAAAGTCAGAGGGATGGCTGGCGTCCCTACTGGGACATCATGAGATTTTACCCCCCTACTTAGAACGAAAAGCAATTTAAAACTTATGGATTGTTCACTTCTGTAATGTTCCATTTAGTATTTTTTGAACCATAGCTGACCATGGGTAACTGAAACCACAGAAAGCAAAACCGTGGAAAATGGAAGGGGGCAGTGGAATTACTATAGCTACCTGCTGACAAAATATGGTCTTCATTTTTCTTACTGGCATATATAATTTATAATTACATATAATTTATAATCATATATATGTATATGTATATTTATATATATTATAGATTTATTGACCAAAAGAAAGGTAACCAAGAGTCACTGGTTAACCATCTAAAAAGAAGCTGATCATTCTGGGAGTTCTAGCTGGAATAGTAATGATAGAAGTGTCTCGTGATCATCCCATTCAATGGCCAGTTCAGAGCCACCCAATATCTGTCCTAAGCTTACTCCACTCCCCTGCAGAACACTCAATATTGAACTGTACTAGGTTCAGATTGTTATGTACCATAGGAGTCTAATCTCTTCAAATCAGCTCCAGAAATTATTTATAAGTCATTTGTGTAAGGGAACAACCTTAATATTGCAAAGAACACAGATTTCAGAATCAGAAGGCCCAGGTTCAAGGTCCTGCTGCCCCACTTACTAGCTCTAATGACAAGGAGGCCACTGACCCTCAGCTCTGACACGGGAACAATAATACCTTCCCTACACGTTGGTGACAGGGCTCTGGATAAACAGGACAAAAAGGTCTCATCAGATCTCCCAAGCAAAATAACTGGGAACAATAAAGCATGTACAATTTTAGCTTTCATATTTCTAGTAACTTCCCAACTTCCCACAGTGCAGAGTGAAAAGGGGAAAAAGAAATTAACCAAGTCTCTGTGGACAACCCTCAGGGGCCTCGCTATATCCCTTAGATTTAGGTGTGCCCTTACAGTGTGAGCCACACAATTGCTTACGACTGGCTCTGCCTGTGTGGATGCTGACTACTAGAGACACAGCAAAGAGGTAAAGAGGGGCCATTTGGGGAATGGCCACTAAAACAAAAAGGCAGATCTCCAGCAGGCCAGGAGTCTCTGAACTCCCCAGAAGGCTTGCGCTTGGAACCCTTTCCATGAAAAATGTCCCACAATTTCAGACCCATGGCATTCCTGGCCTGTATTCTGTTTCTGAGTCTGATACCAAGACACTGGGCAGGATGTTCTGATTGCTATTCTCATACTGAATTATCCCTATATGAAGCTAACATCCTTTTGGAAGTCCACCGTAGAACCAAGAGACCTTCTCAGAAGCCTCTCGTAATTGTGGCTGGCAGGTTGAGATACCCCACTGGCAGCTGTCCAGTGGTGCTTTTCCCTGGCTTGGACAATTAAATAGCTACCCAGCAGGAAGGTGGTCAAGTCAGGTCAGAAGCAGGGTGATCGGACAGACTTAGTCCAGAGGCCCCGATGGAGAAGGTCCACTGAGCCAGTGCCTGCCTTTTTTCTCTCTTACCTTTTCTTTGGCCCTGAGTTGGTCAAACATCTCCTGAATCTCATGTTTCCAGTCATCCTGCAGGCAGTGGAAGGAGTCCTTGGGCATTTCAAAGAAACCGGACTCCTCTATGGTGGTTAGCTGGTCCAGGATACTCGTGAAAGATGGTCGTGAATGGGGGTCAGGATTCCAGCAGTCTGAATGGAAAGCGTGAGAAAACAGAAAGCATGAATGGACTGAAGCGAACAGAAGACTTAGGGCATTACATGACTTCATTTACCAGAAAACTATCTCTTCTTTCTCCTTCCTGAAACTGAGACTGGAATTGAGGTAACCCCAAGTGGGACTCAAGAGTTAAGCAGGCTGCCCAGCATCACAACCATAGAAAGCAAAACTGGAAATCAAACACAGCTGCTCTGCACCCGTCCAGTTCTGATGTGAATGAAGCATAAGGAAAGCAAACCCAAAGAGTTTTCTGTGTACAGTACAGTTACCACGATCAACCATGTTACTATACAATTCAAGTCTTGACAAAGGTAACTACAGCCTGGGCCTCGATTTCCCATAAATACATGAGTTGCCCTTCCTCAACTCAATGGAATGAAGAGAAGGAAAAGATAAAAATGGGAATCAGGAAAAGCCACGAATTAGCAGAATGGCCAGTTACCCACTTAACCCTGATCAGCTTTGTATTTCTCACTTACAAAATTAGGGCATTTTCCCAGAGGACTTTAGAGTTCCTTTTTTCCCCAATGTTCATTTCTACAAGTAAGACACTCAGAGGTCCTGAAATAAAAGCTAGTATACCTTCTTATTTTATATTTTTTTAAATATTTATTTTTTAGTTGTAGGTACACACAATAGCTTTATTTATTCTTATGTGGTGCTGAGGATTAAACTCAGTGCCTCACATGCTAGGCAAGGGCTCCACAACCCCAGCCCATATCTTCTTATTTTATATTAATAAGCTCGTGAAGTACTGGACAGCAGGCTTTAGTTACTAAGTTACCTTCTACTGATACTGGACATGGGCAGAAGGGCCCTGCCTCAGCAGGAAGTAGCTCTTTCAATGGCCCAAAGGACTCCTCATGGGATGACTAATACCTTATCTCCTCTTTCTCCAACTGATCTTGTGAAACTGGCCAATATCAATCAAGTGCTATCAAAAGGTAAACTGTCTCCAGTTTTGTTCAGGCCGGGGGCTACTTACCTTCCATGAGTTTGGCAAAAGGTTCTGGGCAGGTAGAAGGTATAGGAAGGGCAAGTTTGTTCATGGCCACTCCATAAGCCACTGCTAAGCCATCGATACCTCGGAAGGGCACCTCGCCAGTCAGCAGCTCCCAAAGCAGCACCCCATAGCTAGGGACAGGAAGAAGACAGAAGAGATATAATAATCATAACTACAACCTCATGAAATAGCTCTCAAGCCTGCATCAAGCACCCCATGTTCTCCCTAACCATAGGAATACTAATGGAACAGACCAACTAGTTAAATAGAAAAGGGAAACCACAAAGCCTACCAGCTAAAAACAAAACCTATAGAGTCAAGCACACTTCATTTCAAAGTCTATTCCATCATTCCCAGGTATGCCACCATGGGCAAATTACTACATCTCTCTGTAAGCCTCTAATTCCTCATCTATCGAGAGCAATAACATTTATTAGTCTCAGAAAGCTGTCACAAAATTAAATAACTTTAAATAAGTGCACAATGGCCATAGCTATTTTACTGTTCTCAATGAAATAAACTAAGAGGACAGGCAATCTCCCAAACATAATTTTTTTCTGTTTCAAGAAAATGTCAGTTTTTGTCACAGATACACATTTTTTTTTTTTTAGCTTTAGAAAAGCAAACAGCTTACAATTCAACACAGATTTTGGTCCTGTAAAAGGCTTCTTTAAATATCCATAAGGTTAAGTAGATTCCTGCCCCCAAATCAGTATGAGTGGGTCCTTCACAGGGACCTCTGTTTCACAAGGCAGACCTGGGTCAGGGCAGAGTGGTGTGTCGGCTGTGAGAACTGCAGTGTGCCCTCCCTACCTTTCAGATTCACGTAAGAATTTCTCAGGTCCTAATAGAGAATGAATCGTAGAAAGCTTAGTGGAAGAATTATTCTATGAATTCACAATCAAAATCAGGCAAAATCACATAGCATTCAATCCTTTGAAGAATTAATGCCTATAATCCCAGCAACCTGGGAAGCTGAGGCAGGAGGATCACAAGTTTGAGGTCAGCCTGTGCAACTAAGTGAGACCCTGTCTCAAAATAAGACATTAAGGGGGGGGGGGGGTGGGCTCAATGATATAGCACCCTTGGATTCAATCCCTAGTACCAATCAAAAAGAGAGAGAGAGAGAAGTCAGAACAAGAAACTATAAGGCTATGAACAGTCAGAAGGCTAGAGTGAAAAGTCCTTCACTCAACACCAACCTCAAATTTCTTGTAATGCACATCTTTAGTGTGCATCCAGCAACAAAGACCATATTAATTAAAAAAATAATAAACCCAGTAGATATTCTGTATACACAGAATGCTATAATACTTAAGGAACATCATCTTGAATCTCTACAACAAGCCTGTGCAGTAAGTACTGTCTTTAGCGGGCAAATGAGGAGAGCGATTCCTAGACAAGTTCAGTGGCATACATGGAGGACATCACGGTGGCCCTGGGAACTCTCAATTCCCTCTCTCTAGAACACCCTTCTACCATCCTCTGCTTGGTAATGCTAATCATCTTTCAGGATCCAACTCAAATACCCCACCCTTCACCCATTCGTTTTAAACATCTAGTAAATGTTTTCTAGGCATAAAGCTCAATGTCAGGCACTGGGATACAAGACACAGATCTTATCAGAAAAGAGACTAGTGAGAGGGATAAAGAGGATGACAGCTAGAATACAGAGTGATGAGTCACAACAGAGATGCTGCGACCCGAAGGAGGATCACTAAAACCCGGCCAGGATGGGAACAGGAGGTGGCCCTCCAGCTAAGCCCTGCTGTTAAGGGAAGGAGCGGCAGAGCAGGGACAGGGTAAGCATGTGGAGGCGAGCAATCCAGACCACGGTTTTCCTCTTGAAGACTCCCAAGTGATCAAGCCTGGCTCCAAAAAACAATGTGACAACCAATGTGCGAGGGCACTGGAGTTAGAGGTCTCCTTGGACTGTGCCTTTACCCCAGTAAGGCCTCCAGAGATCATCATTTTCTTTGTGTATCTTGACAAGGAAATAGATAATTGCAGGTCTAGACAAGGAGGTAGATTTCAGTTGGTGGCTGATGGACACTTTGGGAAGCCTTTCCTGACGTCCCCTTGTTTGGGCTTCCTTGAACTGTAGTTGTTTGTTTAAAGCCGAAGGGCTCCTAGAGGGCAGGGGTGGCAGTTTTTAATCTTTGGATTCTCAGACTAGCCTGGCTCTGTACACAGGTGCTCACAGACATGTGAATTGGTAGAAGGGCATGGGAATGAATGCCGACTGCACTGGGTGTGCTAGAGTAAGCCTTGCACACCCTCAAGAATTGCACAAGTGTACTTCCTGCCAAACCTTAAATGTGACTTAATCAGACAGTGGTCATACTCAGTAACTTCTACAGAGTGATCTTGAAGAAACTTCAGCATTGATGTCCAGCTTCCAAGGTGAGAGCCACTCCCACCTTCAGCTGCCTGCTCTTGGCACCAGTGCCCACTCCATCCTGGAGAACAAAAACTGAAGTCCCATAGAACCCCCATTGTCACAGGGCCTGACCTTGGACCCTCATGGAGGAATGCTTATCTTGCTCATTGTGCAGCAGGGAAGTCCTAACATAGAGCACTATGTTTTGGGACATAGTGCTGTCAGAACACTGGTAAACACCATTTTCTTGCTCCTTTGAAAAAAGGTTTTTCTCCTGTTGGTGCAAGGTCAGCCTACGTGGCAGTTTCAAAACTCTGGTGTCTAGACTCTCATAAGATGATATGTTGTGTATCACCTCTGGTCTGTCGTGACTGTTATACGCAAATTGGCACACACCCACTATAAAAGCTATTTTTGCTGTGCAATAAAGCTGATGCTGTTCTCTGAAACCATCTCCATTGGGGTTTCTCTGCACCCTCCAGTTCCCCAGGGCAGGCCCCTCAGCACCCAATCTTCCATCTAGTCTAAGACAACCAGTTTCCGAGCCCTAAATACCTGTAAAGACAGGGGAATGCTTCAAAGGCTCCAACTTTCCCTGTCTATTCACAGGTATCTCTTTTGTGATAGTTTTCACACTGAGCTCTGAGTGTCCTGTGGAGATGTCTTGGGCCACCCAGAAGAGGGAGGATCCTGGGATCCTACCCTTCTCAGTTTTGACAAGGCAGCTCTGCTCTAACTGTGCTTGTCTGTTCTGCTCAAAGAGCTCTACAGCTAAGAGAAGCATGTGGACTGTTGCTTGAGTGTGAGCAACGCTAACACAGAAAGATAATACACATTTGACTCAAATGCCCATGCTACCACTTACCAGCCACATGCCCTTGAGGAAGCAAGGTCACCTCATCTGTACACCTCATCTGTCTTCCTTAAGACTGCAGTATTCACCTTACAGAGTAGTTACAAGCAATAAGTAATAGCAACAGGCACTCTCCACCCCAAAATCACCATCTATGGCTAGTAAATATGTGCGATTTCTTCTCGGAAAGGGCCTGAAATGAGGAAGAGTCTGGAACTGATAAGGTAGAGCCCCAGAGTCTGGTGAGAGCCTTGCTGAGGGACACCATGACTCAGAGAGGCAGCCTTTCTGGAGATGATGTAACCCATCAGTTTTCTTGTGCCAAGGTTCTCTTTGTTTTTACAATGAATAAATGAAGACTTGGTACTTCTTTGGCAGGAATAGAGTCCAAGAAAGAAAGTGCAGAAAGACAAGTTAGGTGGATGTGAGTACCAGGGTAGGTGGGCAGGAGAGGTCAGTGCAGTAGAGCTCAGGCTCACTCTACCTTGTTGCTCTCCCAGGACTGGAAAGCAATGAAGAGGTCCTTTATAAGCTGACCCTTTGGAAAGGTCAGCTCAGATAAATCTGAGTCCCTCTCCTCAAGGTAGAGCCACCAGCCCCCTCACTGCTGAACCCAAGTCTCTGTGAATTCACTCTTGGATTAATAATTAACCACCTCCAGAAGTTCAGTAATCCCTTGGACCGTTTCAGACGGTCAGGGAAGGGGTGTTCAATTTTTCTGAAAGTGAGGAAAATGATGAGAGTGGATACAACCCTTCCCAACCAGAGGGACAGCACTTCCTCTTATTAACCTGGGTTATCTCTAAGGCTACCAGCTTGGGCCGTGCTATGAAAGTAGATCATTCGTTTCCCTTGAATGAGGAGGGCTTGGGAATTTCTTGCACGTGGTAATTGTCTGATCTCACAGTCCAGGAACCACACTGACTATCTAATAATCTTTGGCAACGATTACTGAACTAATTCATCTGAAAGCATTTCAAATCTATAATGTAACATATAATTTTTCTTCTGTTTTTTAACTCATTCAAACCAATAAATTATTAACACACATATGTATGCAATGTATACTGTTATGGTTTGGATGTGAGGTATCCCCTAAAAGCTCACGAGTCAGTGCAATAAGGTTCAAAGGAGAAATGATTGGCTTGTAAGAGTCTTAACCCATTAGTGATTTAATCCCCTGATAGGGGTTAATTCAGTGTTAACTGAAGTGGTAGGGTGTGGCTGGAGGAGGTGGGAATTGGGGCATGGCTTTGGGAATATATTTGTATCTGGCGAGTAGATTCTCTGCTTTCTGATCACCTGTGAGCTGCTTCCCTCTGCCACACCCTTCCACCATGATGTTCTGCCTCACCTCAAGTCCTGAGGAATGGAGCCTGCTCTCTATGAATTGAGACCTCTGAAACCATGAGCCTCTAAATAAACCTTTCCTCCTCTATAGTTGTTCTGATCGGGTCTTTTAGTCGTAGCAGCAAAAAAGCTAAAATATATGTTATTATGTCTAGTGACATCATAACATTCATTTATGTGGTAATATGTCCTTGCTATATTGCATTTTAAAAGCAGCTTATAAAACAGAATGATCCCATTTTAAGGGATGGGTGGCTCAGCACACAAATAGACGTGAACAATGGGAAGTTATACTCCATGTATATATGATATGTCGAAATGCATTACTGTCATGTATAACTAAAAAGAATAAAATTTTTTTTAAAAAATAGTGAGCATATCAAAATACCAATATAGGCTATCTCTCTAAATGGTTTTAGGGTGTTTTCTTTTCTTTTTTGTTTTTCTATATTTTCTAATTTGTTTCTGCAGGGAGCATGTTTTATTATTATAATTTTAAAATTATTATTGTAATTTTAAAACTTAAAATGATTCAGAAAATGCTTCCACTTTGTCCCACATATGACAGGTAAGACATCCTGGGAGGATGAGGCCCTTGGCTCTAAACACTGTTTCCCTGCACAGCACAACATACAGGAAGAGGATGCCCAAAGCACAGGAACAAGGACATATAGCTGGTGACACAGTAACACTGTATAAGTATTGCCATATGTTTGTTTGGTTTTGTGTGTGTGTGTGTGTATCAATGTGTGTGTACCAAGGATTGAACCCAGGGTACTTAACAACTAAGCCACATCTCTAGCCCTATTTTTTTTTTTTTTTTTTAGACAGAGTCTCACTAAGTTGCTTAGAGCCTCATTTAGTTGCTGAGGCTGGCTTTGAACTTGCGATCCTCCTGCCTCAGTGTCCTGAGCCACTGGGATCACAGATATGGGCCATTGCACCCAGCAAGTACTGCCATATGTACATCAATGGGCGCACATTTTCCTCTGATAAAGGTGAAAATCTTTTGAAGCCACTAGATAAGTAGGCTTGAGGAGAGAGGGATTAAGGTTCATGTAATAGGTTCAATAAAATGTGTCTTAAAGGAAATCCTACAGCACCGAAGCGGAGCAAGCTGGGAGGAAGAAGGGTGAATTGTTTTTACACCACATTCACCAACCAAATTGGATCAGGAGGCTTAAGTCCTTGGGACAATTCTAAATCAGAGACCCACTGTAGACCAAAACAAAACAAGAGACAGTAACAAGAGATGAGAGGATGTGGAGAGACTGGAACCCTTACACACTGTCGTGGGAAGGAGAAATGGTGCTGCTGTGAGGAAAACAATTTTCTGGGCTCAAAAAAAAATGTTAAACAAAAATATCCTATGACTTGGCAACTGCATTCCTCTGCACATGCCCAGGAGAACTGAATTTATGTACACAAACCTGAATATGCTCCCCAAAAAAACTCGTACACAACTGTCCACAACATATTCATAATAGCCCCCAAAGTGAACACAACACAAATGTCCATCTCCTGACAAACGGGTAAGCACATGTGGCCTATTTATATGTTCACATACTATAAAAACCGTAAAAAGAATGCATTTCTGATGTAAGCTATGAGATGGATGAACCTTGAAGACATTAGGCTAAATGTAAGAAGTAACTCACAAGAGCACACATATCCTATGATTCCATGAATGTGAAACAGCCAGAATAGGAAAAGCCATAGACAGAAGACAAGTTAGTGGTTGCTGAAAAGCAGGGGGAGGACAGATTGGGCAATGACTGATAATAGATATGGGGTTTCTTTTCTTGAGTGATAAAACATGTTCTGAAAATAGGCAGTGGTTGTAGTGAGTTGAACGGTACCCTAAAAAGATCTTGATGTTCTAATATCTAGATTCTTCATTGGAATTAGGACTGTCTCTAGAGGGTGTGATCCTGAGACACCGACTTTAGACCTCTCTGGCCTCCAGAACTATAAAAGAATATATTTCTGTTGCTTTAAGTCACTTGGTTTGTACTAATCTGTTTCTATAGCCCTAGGAAACTAATGACAGTGGTGATCAATACACAACTTTTTTACATTAAAAATCAATGACGGGGCTGGGGATGTGGCTCAAGTGGTGGCGCGCTCGCCTGGCAAGCGTGCGGCCCGGGTTCGATCCTCAGCACCACATGCAGACAGGGATGTTGTGTCCGCCGAAAACTAAAAAATAGATATTAAAAAATTCTCTCTCTCTCTCTCTCTTTAAAAAAAAAAAAAAAAATCAATGACGGGCTGGGGTTGTGGCTCAGTGGTAGAGCACTTGCCTAGCATGAGTTGAGGCCCTGGGTTCGATCTTCAGCACCACGTAAAAATAAATAAATAAAATAAAGATATTGTGCCCAACTACAACTAAACAATAAATATATATATTTTTTTTAAAAAATCAATGACTAGGGGCTTGGGCTGTAGCTAAGTGGCAGAAAGCTTGCCTAGCATGCATGGGGCACTGGGTTCAATCCTTAGCACCACATATAAGTGAACAAATAAAATAAAGGTATTCTGTACATCTACAACTACAAATAAAATTTTTTTAAAAATCAATGACTTACATACTTTAAAGGGTGAGTTTTATTGTATTGAATAATACCTCAATAAAGCAGTCATTTTAAAGAATACGTACACATACACACACACACAGATGCTTATAACACATCAGGAAGAACTAACTTCATAGACTGACAGGTGCTGACAAACCGTAGTCCTTGCTTTTGAATATAAGGCAATACTACTATCCCCTGGCCATGAGATGTGTATGTACTCTGCAGTTGCTCCTCCTTCCTTAATCAGGGCAAGACCTTTTAGATCCATGTCCTTATGCCTCTTGGGCTGACGCTTACTTGGGAGATAGTTGGTCATATCTAGTCTGTAACTCTGCAGTTCGTGGGGTACACTGAGGGGCCATCTTTTCCAATTTCTAGATCAATGTCCAATAGACACAGCCTTGAGTAAAAGATTAACTGGATAACAGAAAAAAAAGGATCATTTTAAGCTACCAAGAAAAAAAAAGAGACAGCACAAAGAATACTCATTGGCTAGGGAAATTACAGAGAGGACATTGGGTTAAACCCTCCCCAAGTCCCACGGTAATGGCCACTGAAGTTGAGCAATCTAGGCATACCCTGGGGAAGATCTCCAAGAGTGAACAGTGCCCTTACCATCCTCCAGGTCAGAGATGAGAGAACACGGTGCCCCCTGCAACCTACTGGCCTTTCCAGGAAGCAATTTCCAACATAAAGGGGCCTAGAAGGAGGTGATCTATCTATTTGTTCATTCATTTATTTTGGGGGCATTGGGGATTTAACCCAGGGGCACTTTACTGAGTCCCTAGTCCTTTATTTTTAATTTTGAGACAGGGTCTCACTAAGTTACTTAGGGTCTCACTGAGTTGCTGAAGCTGACCTTGAACTTGGTGATCCTCCTGCCTTAGCTTCCCAAGTCACTGGGATTACAGCCGTGCAGCACTGCACCCGGTATTTTTGCTAGATGGAAACATCTACCAAAACTGTCTCTTGGCACCATGGAAATTAACACAGATTGCCCTTAGGGTGTCACTCAGACCTACTTGGGATGCCTACTTGGGGTAACCTAAGATCTCCAAGTCCTGAAATGTGTACAGCCAAAACAGTCCTGGGGAACACTACCTCTACACCTCAGGTCCTTACCTCCACACGTCACTGCCTTTGGAAAACGTAGAGGCACGAATGACTTCAGGAGCCATCCAGGCATAAGTCCCTGCTGCACTCATCTTAGTGGTTCGGTGCCATTCCCGAGCCAGGCCAAAATCAGTGATCTTCAGTATTTTGTTGCTCAGGTCTCCATTCTCCACCTTCTGCAGGATCAGTACTAGACAAGGAAAGGAAGACAGAAGAAACCAGAGTCTACATTAATCACAGGGAAACCACTAAACACAAAGCCCTCCTGCCGTCCTCTTGGCCTCTTCTGTAGGTTCTTCATGGTGCTACCAGAGCCTGATGGCAGGAGCCACCATCTCTTAAACACCTACACTGCATTCACCTTTGAGCCCCCTGTTTTATTGGTACAAACATAAATGCAGTAGAGGATTAGAGGTGATGTCCCACAACTACCTTAAAAGGTAGCTTCTTCAGGTTGAGCATCCCTAAGCCAAGTATGATTTAGGAGTGTTCAACCAGTGAAATCTGAACAAATATTCCCAAACCTGAAAAAAATCCCAAATCTGAAACACTTCTGGACCCAAGTACTTTTTTAAAATAATTTTTTAATAACGTTATTTTTATGTGGTGCTGAGGATCAAACCCATAAGCCACAAATGTGCTAGACGAGCACTCTACCATTGAGCCAGAACCCCAACCCCTAAGTACCTTTAATACTCAACCAGTGTTGCCATCTTCATTTCACAGATGAGGAAACTGTGCTATAGCATTATTAAACAAATCACCAAGGTCACCCAATTAATAATCCAGGACTGAGTCCCAGGCAGCCAGACTCCAGAGACTGCTCTCTTCACCTATAGCCTGATCCCATCTTGTGAAGGAAGAGCTATGAATCACAGGTGACCCTCCAAGGAGTAGCTACTTGTTTGCCAGGGTACCCCTAGGTTATAACCACTCACAGGTCACAGGGGTTGGAGGCACATTATTGGATTTTCAAGGTTTCAGACAGCATCTGGACAGCATCCGTGATCACATTACTTTACTCTTAAGAAAGCACATCTATTAGGCTCTGGAGATTTTGGCATAATCCAGTAACTTCCCCCAAACACCAATAGAGAATGAGTGATGAGTTGGCAAGGTTACAGGCACAAACAAGTTCACACCCCGGATGCTTTTGTGACCGTACCCCAGGAAGGAGGAACCAGTGCACCAAAGCAGTTATACTCTGGTTCCTAACAGGTGCCAAACTCGAACACGGAAGCTCCATCTTGGTTCCCCTAGGGCAGCAGCTGAGGCAGCCTTCCCCTCCTGTTGCTAATCCCAGTGATAAATGTGCCCTTGTGGGAGCCAATCTTGCTAAAAAGACCCAAAACACTACTTGACTAGAGTACTGTAAGGTAAACCAAGGAATTCTGCTGACTGGGCAGCCAGCAAGCCAGCTCTTTGGCCATGTGGAAGCCAAGCCTCCATCCTCACAAGTGGTAAAGTTCCAAAGGCTCCATGCAAGCACTGCTGCTCATGGGTCAGACACTAGGGCACCTGGAATTCAGGGCTCAACAGGCTGCTGTTTAGAGAAAAGAGGAAGGCTCCCCCCTCGTCCATGCCACACAAGCCCAAATGGCAAGGGTGGCAAAGGAACCTGATGCAGACAGAATAGCAATAAGAAGTGCTGACTTAGCTCCATCCAGCCAGATCTATCTAGAGGAACAGCAAAGAGAGTAGTTCTCAGCCCTAAGTGTGCCAGGGTACTCCAAAGGGCTTCCCACTAGCTCTAACTCCCTTGGCTGGTTCTCCAGTTATCCCACAGAGCCTCCAGAAGGCTGAACCTTTACCTCCTAAGAGGTATTTGCATTAGCAGACTCTGTGAGAGTTCAAACCCTTCCATATCTATATGGAAGGAATCCATGTGGATTCCTTTGGGTAGATAGTTCAGGGCATGGGTTTGAGGCAGGGGCCTCAAGTCACAGCCTGTCCCCCAGATCAAGGTCCATTTAATTGTTATATATTGAAAGAATGTGGGTCAAAGATCTGTGTCCTACGTGCTTCTCAGAAAAGCAGCAGCTCAGAGGGATTACCAGCAGCTATAGAGCTGGAGGCACAAAAGAAAACAGCCACTCCCCAGACCTAATGGACAAAGGCTCTTTCCTCCACACCCTCCCCCTCCTCCCTGGATGCACCCCTCCCCACCCCAGGCTTCCAGCATCTTGAGTGAGTACAGGCCTCCAAATGCTTGGGCAGGTTTTCAAAAAGAAAAGGAAAGGAAAAAAAAAAAAATCTTTCTCCATCTCATCTATTAACAAAAGATCTTTCCAGACTCTTCTGTGGCAGAGATAATGGTCAAGTAGACATTCAAACTGCAGGCAAGTGACACTAAAGAAACCCTCCATTCCCTCTCCAGAGGCAGCCACCAGCTGCTGACTGTCTCTGAGCCACCCCTAAACAGAAGATTCAGAGGGAATCCTTCCCTTCCCCTTTCATACTCAGTGGGGTTGGTGGCTGGCACCCCCCACCCCACCCCCCAACGTGGCTGGGACAGGGCACAGCGGGAGGAGGATGAAGTTTCATATTAGTCTAAGAGTTGGCTTAATAAGTGTGGCAGAATGATGGGCCAAGAACAAGCCAGGGACAGTCTGTCTGAATGAGAATGCCTTTATACAGGATGGCTACGCTAGGTTCCACTAATTGCCACTGTCCCCTGCTGCCTGACACCCAGCTGACCTTAAACACTTGCTCAACTGCTCAGGGCCCCTAAAGGTATCTGCTTTAGGAATGCATGGTTTAGGAGTCCTAACCTTATCAAAATAGAGAGGGTGTAATCAAAAACCATCCAGAAATCTTGGCAGAGGGTCATAGACAATACTGTCCTGAAATACGGTAACTACAAAGCATCGGTTATTAATAATTAAAGCCCATAAATTTGTGAAAGCATTCCTCTTTTTGTTTTTTGTTGACTTTTTTATTGAGATGAAATTTGAACAATATAAAATTAGCCATTTTAAAGTGAATAATTCAGTGGCATTTAGTATTTTTACAATGTTGTAGATCCATCACTTCTTATCTACCTTCAAAAGACATCTTTATGCAGCTGAGGCTGTGGCTCACGGGTAGAGTACTCACCTAGCACGTTTGAGGCGCTGGGTTCAATCCTCAGCACCATATAAAAATAAATAAAATAAGGGTATATTAAAAAAAAAAGTTATCACCACGAAAAGGAAGTCTTACACCCATTCCCTGTTCTTCCCTCCCCTCAGTCCCAGCTACCACCAATGTGCTGTCTCTTCAATTTACCTTTCTGAATATTTCATGTAAGTGAGACACAATACGCTACATCTGGCTTATTTCACTTAATGTTTTCAAGATTTATCCATATTACAGCTTATATCAGTACAGCTCTCATCTGGTTTTCAGTCCTAGAGACTGAACACAAGGGTACTCTACATACCCAGTCCTCTATTTTATTTTGAGACAGAGTCTTTCTAGGTGGCACTAAACTTACAATCCTCCTGCCTTAGCTTCCTGAGTAGCTGGGATTACAGGTGTGCCCCACTGTATCTCGAATTTGACACTCCTTTTTATGGTTGAATAATGTTCCATTTTGTGTGTGTATGTGACAATTTGTTTATCCATTCATCCGTTGACATTTGAGTCATCTCAGCTTTCTGGCTACTGAGAACAGTGTTGAATATGTATAGATATGTTTATGCGACTATTTCAATTTTCATACCTAGAAATAGAATTGCTGTGTCACATGGCAATTCTATATCTAACTTCTTGAGGGACTACCAAACTGTTTTCCATAGCAGCTGAACCATTTTTACATTTTCACCAGCAGAATATGAGGGTTCCAATTTCTCCACACCCTCACCATGCTCAGAACACATATTTCTGTCATCATCATCATCACCATCCTTGTGCATATGAAGTAGAGTCTCTTTGTGATCTGGATTTGCATTTTCCTAATGGACTAATGATGCTGAATCTTTTTTCATGTGCTTGTTGGGTATTTGCATATCTTCTCTGGAGAAATGTCTATTCGATCCTTTAGCCAATTTTTTAAGCAGGTGATTTTTTTTTTTGTAAGAATTCTCTATATATTGTAAACTGTTATCTGATAAATTATTTGTGAGTATTTTCCCCATTCTGTAAGTTGTCTTCACTTACTTTAGTTTTCTTTGATGTACAAAAGTTTTTAATTTAGATGAAGTCCACTTTATCTATATTTTCCTTTGTTGCTCATGCTTTTCGGTGTAATATCTATGAATCCAATGCCAAACCCAAGGTCATTAAGATTTACCTCTATGTTTTCTTCTAAGACTTTTAGCTTTTACACTGGACCCATTATTTGTTAACTTCTATGTAGCATATGAGATAAGGGTCCAACTTCATGTGGCTATCCAGCTGTCCTAGCACTATTTGAAGAGGAAAGCTTTAAAACATAAAGAGTACAGTTTTCTTCCAACATGCTATCCTGGGCAGGTGGGAAAGGTTACAGTCACAATAGTTTATACATCAGTAACACTGTAGTGAGCCCATTATGAGTTTCTACCACTGATGAGCAGCTGTGACAATAACAAATAATTGTGCTTTCATGTCTTAGAAACCATATCCAGGAGAGTATATTGTGCAGCCCTCACCTCTCATGTGCAGGGAAGTAGAGAAAATACTGAGAACAATGAATGATCCCAGGCCTAAGTCAACAGGAGCCTGGCCAGGGTCAGGCGAACTAAAAAAAGGAAAAAGAAAAAGATGCACTTGAACTAAAGACCTGGTGATTAACCAGATACAGGAGCTTGATGGAGAAGAGAAGAGTCTCCAGCCTTTTATGGTGGCAAGAAGAATGGTAGTAGTCCAACTGGGAAGTTGAGGGGAAAAAGCCCATTTGAGGAAGCCAAGTTCAATTTTGGACTATAGGTCTAGGCTGATAGTAGCCAGAGTCATAGGAAACAGGCAAAGAGAGTAGATAACTGAAGTCCCAGGCTTGACACTCTGTCTATGTGATTCTGGACAAATCCATAAACTCTACTTCTAGAAAATGGGAATAAAAATTAAATGCATTACAGTAACACCGAAGCTAGCAGAGTGCCTGCCACATAAACAGGCACCTAGAACATGCTAGCTAGTATTATTACGAAGAAATATACTATACATGGGACTCTGCAATCAAGTATTTGATGGGGAAAGCCTGGCAGTCCCTGACACATAATAACCATA